AAGGACTGGAAATAACAGACACACAAGAAGACACCAAAGAGTGCAAAATTACAAGAAGACACCAAGAAGAATGTAGATGTAGTGCTTCATAGTAGGCTTGAGAAGCCAACTTTAATTGTTGTGATTTTAAAACATGAGTTAAATCTAATAAAACGGTCGTGAAACATTTTTCAGTTTTTACTAGGGTGTCATACAGCCCACCTTTGCCCTCATAGTCTCAACCCTCATCAGCCCTCACACGCACACCCTGAACATTCCAACACCCCACCCCAAATTTCAATTCCTGGGGAAATCACTACCTTGCAGTCATTAATATGTGCATCACAATCACCAGAGCTCTCTCTGATTAAAAGATTACACTTCATCCAGACAGCCACAAATAAAAATAGGTAGCTTTTGCTGCTGTGGCTATTTGGGTATTTAACAGCAGTGAGGAGTCCAAAAGGAACCCTAGGCTACAGATTGACTTAACAACCTGAGAGCAGCTTCCCTTGATAATGGGGGATTTTATAGGAGAAGCAAGTTATTCAAAGCATTTGCCTTTTCCTGCCAGCATTGTCTCAGTAGGGCTTGGGTTCAGCTTGAGCCAGTTGTTCTTCATCCAATTTATCTCAGTTCAACATTGAGAAAGAGGGGAGAAGATGCTGTTTATATTTCATGGGGGGAAAAAACAAGCGTAAGGCTGGGTGGTATGTATCCCTATACTGTTGTCAGTTCAGCCCATGTTGTCTCAGTGACTCCTCCTATAACTTCACTTAGATGTTGAATAAGATGGCGAGGAAGACTGTGATTCCACGGAGGAGGGTTCTGGAGGAAGAGTAATATTTTCCCATAATGACCCTTTGGTCTGAGAAGAAGATCTAGCCGTATTACTTTCTATTCCGATTCATTTTCATTCTACTGAGTTAAATGACCCAACTCCTTTTATTGAGCTGTTCTACGAAATGACTCACTGTTTGATGTTTCATAACATCAAACCAACGCCAAATGATTACACAAGTGCAAATGCAGGTTTGCATACTTTCACTTCTTTTCCTTGTAATATTTCCATTTGGTGCTCACTTTAATAAAATATGTTTCACTTTAGCCTTTCATGAATTCACTCCATTTCATTACATGTATTCAATCAAGCTCTCAAAAACAAGCATCCTCTTTTTCCCCCTCTAGGTAACAGGCAAAATAAGCTTGAAGTAAATATAGCAATTTAAGAAGTGAGATTTATTAGAGAGGAAATGCCACTAGTTTAAAATCATACTCAAACTAACTGGAAAAAGCAAATATTGACAATATGAGATTCTGGATGTGAGAGGTTGGAATTCAAGGCCCCCATGAAGCCAAATGAGATAGGAACTGGGACAGGGAAAAGGAGTAACGCTGTTACTCTTGTTAAACCACATGCAACAGTCTACTAGCTAGGGCTTGATTCATTGCTGTTGGCACAGGAGCCAAATTGCCCCAGAGGTTCTATAGTGGTAGGGCAGTGGGTTTTAGCACCAACGCTGAATCAGTGCATATTCTGTCTCACTTGGTCCCATCCTCTCCCTGTTTGACACCACCCACTTTCTGCGCTTTGCTGGCAGCTCCAGGTGCCACAGTAGTGAGCATTTGCACTGCTATAAACCCCCTTCTGGAGATATTCTGCCACCATGGTGCTACAATCCAAATTCCACTAGTGGAAGCCTGTATTACATAAGGGAAGGTTACTAAGCAGTATTTCCCATCCACTGGCTAGAACCAGCGATCCTTCCCAAATGTTTTCTTGTTGTGTTCATACAAAAAAAAGAGAGAAAGAAAAGGAAACTTTCCTGAACATTGTAACTAATACTTCAAATGACAGCAAGCCCCTATAAATTAATTGCTGATCTAACAGGAACATTATTAGTATACATTTTATAGCATTTTTATTCATAATTATCAAAGTGTCCCTCAAACTGTACTATGTCTCTATAAGGAATCATTTAACCCAGCACTGAAATGAAGCCACCTTGGGTCTGTAACTCAGTAACCAGGAAAATGAAAGGTACATAACAGGCAGGGCAACACTGCAGGGTTGGCAAAAAAACAGGAGAGAATCCCCTTACAAAGAGGGCTGTGAGGATAGTGTGGAAGTAAGAGCATGGATACACACCCTTCCCCTCCCTGAAGGGGGCATTGCTCCCAGCATTTAAGTGGTGTGGTCTGTACCTGCCAATGGAATGAGTGGGGGCAAGACAGTGTAAGGATCTCGATGATCAGAAAACACACCTGTTGATCAGAATTTCTATGTTAAATTCCACGTAGAATCACAACAGCGCTCTCTCTTTCACCCTGTATAACCAAGCTAAACTAACATGGACCAAATAAAGTAGCGCTAGCAATAATTAAACTCCCCCCAACTAAGATGTATCTCATCTGAGAATCTCCACGTGCTTTATACAAAGTTAAAGAGGCCTCCCAGCACTACTGTGAAGCAGTCAAGGGTTGTGTTTTACAGATGAACTAACCAGGGTTAAGTGACTGGGCCCAGGCGAGGAATCCCACTGCTTGGCTCTATCACTACTAGGCAAAGCACATAAAAAAGGTGCTGCTGTTACTGCCGTCCCGATGCTGGCTGCAATATGTGACACCAGAAGACACAGCCTCCGGATTGCCATTCCCAGCGCTGTGTGGCACCCCGGGGCTAACCTTCCCCCTCTTGCTGTTACCAGTGTCTCATCGGCCACGAGGTGCGGTATAAGGTGCCATTTCCCTCCACCGCTGCTGCTACAGCCAGGCCGATCCCTCCCCTTGCTCCTGCTGCAACTGTGGTTACTGAGAGCTGCTTCCCTTGGAAATTAGCAGTTTCCGCCTCCCTGCGCCTTAATACGGAGCCACTGACTGAAGAGTCTCCGCCAGAAACTCATGTCCAGAGAGAGACTCACCTGCTGCTGCAGCCCGAAGTTCGGCGAGGCAGAGGAGAGCTCAGCCCGAAGCCGCTGCTCTATGGACCCAGCAGGGGTGCGGCCTGACGGGCCTGTCCCTCCTACGCGCACGGGAACAGCAGTAGCTGCAGCAGCATGGCCCGCGGGGGCGGAGCTGGCTGCTTTGGTGGTGGCTCGGCTCGGCCCGGCCTAGCCCAGCCCAGCTCAGCTCCAGCACGCAGTGGTGGGGGAAGAGAGGGGTGTCTGGTTTGGGGAAGTCATTATTCACTGTGAGGCTTTTGTTGTCGTTGTTTGTCTCAAGCCTGTCCCGCTGCGGGAGGAGGTGGAGGAGTTTGCAGAGACGTTTGCTGGTTGAAATGTAAGCGCTGCGCACTCATAGGAGTGGCCTACCCTAAAGGATCGCATAGCTCCAAGGTTAAATGGTCTAAGTTCCTGAGCCCCTTTGCTTCTGAAATAGTTTAGTGTGCCCACGCTATCAAGGGTTAAAGGGTTCAACTTGTCCACACCCAGCACTCCCTCCAGCGACTGCTGTGGCTGAAGATTCTAGACTAGTTCTCTCCTCTCTTCATATTGTCAGGTTACAAAGTAGCAGCCGTGTTAGTCTGTATCCGGAAAAAGAACAGGAGGACTTGTGACACCTTAGAGACTAACAAACTTATTTCAGCATAAGCTTTCGTGGGCTACAGCTCACTTCTTCAGATGCATAGAGTGGAACACACAGACAGAAGATATTTATACATACAGAGAACATGAAAAGGTGGAAGTACGCATACCAATAGTAAGAGGCCAATCAATTGAGATGAGCTATCAGTAGCAGCAGAAGAAAAAACTTTGAAGTGATAATCCAGATGACCCATTAAAGGTGTGAGGAGAATTTAACATGGGGGGGGGGATTAAATTAGTGTAATGACCCAGCCAGTCCCAGTCTCTGTTTAGGCCTAAATTAATTGTGTCTAATTTGCATATTAATTTGAGTTCAGCAGTCTCTCTTTGGAGTCTGTTTTTGAAGGTTTTTTGTTGCAAAACTGACTCAATTGATTGGCCTCTTACAATTGGTATGCGAACTTCCACCTTTTCATGTTCTCTGTATGTATAAATATCTTCTGTCTGTGTGTTCCACTCTATGCATCTGAAGAAGTGAGCTGTAGCCCACGAAAGCTTATGCTGAAATAAATGTTAGTCTCTAAGGTGCCACAAGTACTCCTGTTCTTTCTTCATATTGTGTTTCAGATGGAGGAGACCTGGTGGTTTAAAAAAACGGGGAGACATTTTATTTTAAAACCAAGTTTTAAAAAAAGTCAAAATAATAAAAATATACATATTTTACTTTTAATAGGATTTGCTGGGTCTTTACTGATGTAAGGGAAGGGTGCCAGTCTGAGCCAAGACCAGCCAAGTACAACCTGGACTTCTGCTGGGTCTGTGTGGAAATGGTATGGGAAGTGTAGGCAGCAAGTGCACTGAGCTGTCAGTAAGGGGTGGGCAGTAGTATCATGCACCTGCACTTGGAGGATCACTTGAACTCATAGTGCAGTACCTTTACTTCAGTCTAGCCTAACACAAAAATGGTTCTAACTAAACCAGTGCAGACTGCAGAGGGTAGAAGACTTTCTTGGATCTACTGTACTTGTAATGGTACTTATAACATTTGTGAAACGTTACAAGTGCTTTTGTGTGTGCGACCTCCCCCCCCCCACATGTAAATCTCAATTTATCTCCTCATGGTGTTCCAGAAGCTAGTGGATGATACCTGGTCCCTCAAAATCCAGTACCTTCCCTACACCCCCATTTATCAATTAAGGGAAGAGGGAGTTGAAGACTAGCTGGCTCATCTGAAGTGGACCCTGCCTACTTCCATCTCTGTATCCTAGGAGATATAAAAAAGAAGACCATTAGTTCACCAATAAAAGACAAATCCAATCCCTCCAATATTAAGGGCACAACACCTAAGGCTTATGTAATAAATATTTAGGAAAGAAAAAGAAACTACCTTGCATTTCCTATCAGCAATAGGAATATCCCAGAGGATTATGAAAATCAAAACAGCAGCTCTCTTCAGCTTTCATTTTCAGTAATGACTATCAATTATTTGAATATAATTCCAGCTACATTTTCTTCTCAGGGAAAAAAAATCAAATATATTAGAACAGCCCCCTTGAATATAACATATTCTGGCTGATCTCTTTGCTGTTTAGTTTGTCTGCTTACTTTAACCCCTAGGTTATGGGGTATGCAACCATGTATCTCTTAGTAGGCCTGTTTGAATTTGTAAATGTCTTTGGTACAGAACCCACCTAAAAGATTTGCCTAAACTGTTACATTAAGCTGAGTTAAGGGTTGCAGTTACAATCCATTTTTCTGTCCATCCAAGAGGAAGGAGTGGATCCAGTCAAAGTGCATCCCCATTTACTCCTTAGACATCTTAATAGCATGCTATTGGCACTTGGTGGTCAATAGTACTGAGAGCCACTCAGTGATCTCAAGCGGTATAAGCGTGGTGTGGTGGTTTCTGTCCAAAACAAGACTATGCAACCCCTCCAACAGGGCTCTCTCTGTGTTGCATCTTGGCCTGAAGCCTGAGTATGAATTTTAATAAATCATGTTGTAAAGGTTCTGCAGTCATTTGGTAAACAGGCTGCTCCAATAAATAATTTACCGGAACAGTTTAAGAGCAAGGTCAGGGACGGCCCTTAGTGTAGGGTGGGGAGCTCTATGTGCGTGACTAGCCTTTGGTGTGTTATAGCTAGTGCTTAAAAGTGGTCTGGAAAAAGTCAGGGGGGGCTGTCATAATTTGGGAGCACGACTTTGGTAAAGCAGTGCTCACAGTGCATCCCTCAGCTCTATTTCTATTTTATTTTATTGCCTGTTCCGGGAGTTGACTCCTACCCACCCCGAAGCACTGTGGTAGGAGACTGAGAGTTGGGCGGGCAGACCTGATGAGCAAGTGGTGGGACTGAGCGTAGGCAGCCCCTATTGTGGCTATGGAGAGGTGCGGCTGGGGCGGCCCGTGACAGGGGGAGGGGACGCTCCCGGTGCATGCGGTGGGTCTCTCCTGTGGCTACAGTGTACGTGGCGGGGGGGACTTTTTAGTTGGGCGGAACCTTTCTCTCGCATCCTGTTTCCCGGCGCGGGGACGCCTTTTCCTACCGGCCTCAGGCGCGCGCCAGGAGCTCCATGTGGGGCCGCCAAAGCCGAGCCGTGCTGAGTCCGGTTGCCATAACAACGCGGGCTTCGGTGTGGGCCTGACTAGACCTCGCCTCCCTCGCGGGACCCGCGATGTGCAGCTGGGCCGCGGCGGGGCGGCGGCTGAGCGGCTGCCGAGCGCGCGCCGCGCTCCCCGGAGCCCCCGGGCGGGGGGGCAGCGCGTGGCCCGGCGGGGGCCGGGCCGTGAACCTGACCGAGCTGCTGCAGAGCTCGGTGGGGGACGAGGAGGCGGCGACGCGGCGGCAGCGGCCCCCCCAGGAGGGCACCGTGCTGCTCTTCCCCGGCCAGGGCAGCCAGTTCGTGGGGATGGGCCGGGGGCTCCTGCGCTACCCCAACGTCAGGGACATGTTCCGGGTGGCCGAGAAGGTGCTGGGCTACGACCTGCTCTCGCTCTGTCTGCGGGGGCCGCAGGCCGAGCTGGACCGCACCCTGCACTGCCAGCCTGCCATCTTCCTCGCCTCCCTGGCCGCCGTCGAGAAGCTCAACCACCAGCAGCCCAGTGTGAGTGGCTAGGGGGGGTGAAGGGGGCGCCTGGCGCCCAGCCCCGGCTACCCTCCTCGACTGTAACGTGCCCAGGCCCATCGCAGGGTGCGGGGTCAACGCGCTGGTGTCCAGCACAGCGCTGCGCTCCCTGGGCAGAGGTATCGACCGCCACCGTTTGCACCACCGTTGGGTGGACCAGGGCCAGATTTCCAGTTAGGCACATGCCATGGGGCATCGGTGCTTAGGGTTGCCCGCTGTCTCTAATCACACAAACCCAAACACCCTTGCCCTGCAGCCCCGCCCCCCACTCACTTCATCCCACTTCCCTCTGTCATTCGTCCTCCCCCACCCGCACTCACTTTCACCAGGCTGCTCTGGGAGGGAGTTTGGGTGCAGGAGGGGGCTTAGGGCTGGGGCAGGGAGGTGGGGTGCAGGAGGGATGGAGGGGTTCAGGCTCCAGCCGGGCAGGGCTTACCTCAGGCAGCTCACAGAAGCAACCAGCATGTCTGGCTCCGAGGTTCAAGGATGGTCTTACATCTCTATACACTTTCCTCTGCAAGTAGCCAAATGGAACCACAGCCAATGGGAGCTGCAGAGTTGGCGCTCGGTACACCAACTTTCTAATCGCACAAAACCAAACTTTCTAGCCCCACCCCTTCCCTGAGATCCCACCCCTTTGCCCCTTCCCCGAGGCCCCACCCCCTGCTCACTACATTCCCCCTCCCTCGGTGGCTCGCTGTCCCCCACCCTCACTCACTTTCAATGGGTTCGGGTGCGGGAAGGGGTGAGGGCTCTAATGGGGGTGCAGTCTCTGGGGTGGAGTTGGGGATGAGGAGTTTGGGGTACAGGAGGAGGCTGGGGGGCGGAGAGGGATGTGGGTTGAGGCAGGGGTTGGGGTGCAAGAGGAGGTACGGGCTCTGGACTGGAGATATAGCTCTGGGCTGATGCTGGGGATGAGGGGTGCAGGGGTGGGGCTCAGGGGTGGGATGCAGGCTTACCTCGGGTGGCTCCCTGGCAGCGGGGTTAAGGCAGGCTTCCTGGCTCCATGCTGCACCCCGCAGGCATCGCCTCCCCCAGCTCCCATTGGCCGCGGTTCCTGGCCAATGGGAGTGCGGAGCCAGTGCTCAAGGCGGGGGCAGCATGCGGAGCCTCCTGGTGCCCCCACCTAGGAGTCGGACCTGCTGGCCACTTCCAGGGCGCAGCACAGTGCCAGGACAGGTAGGGACAAGCCTGCCTTAGCCCTTTTAGCGGCCTGGTCGGCGGTGCTGACAGGAGCCACCAGGGTCCCTTTTTTGAAAACCGGACACCTGGCAGCCCTAGGCAGCGCGCAGAGACCTGCTGGCCGCCTCTGCGCCAAGGAGCCACAGTGACGTGCCAGTTGCTTCTGGGAGCTGCGCGGAGCCAGGGCACGTAGGGAGACTGCCTTAGCCCAACTGCTCTGCTGGACTTTTAGTGGCCTATTTAAATCTCCCAGATTGGTTTCAGTAGCCTCTTGGAGATCAAGGTGATTCTGTGAGACTCCTGGCCAATCCCGG